GAGGAAAAAGATGAACAAACGATCAACCTATTCGGCCTTCTTCGAAGCCTTGGTTCTCAGCTTCATGAGACCGAATACCAAAGCGTATCCACTGATTGCAAAGATGACAGAGATACCGATATCTCTCCATCCAGTAGTGTAGTTCTGGATATGGAGACCTCTCAGGAAATCGCTTCCGTCTGTGTATTGACAGACCTTGCAAGCCGAGGTAGCATCGGGGTTGATCAAATTGATACCTGAGCCAGTGCCGGTCATGTAATCCGACAGGTACTCAACGCAGGTGGTACCGTTGACTGGTTCGAAGAAAGCGAATTCTTCCTCATTGCATGTGACTTTGGCACCCCAGATGCCAAAGGTCAACATACCAGAGACAACGTAGTTAAAGGGGTTAAGGTAGTACATCCAGAACCGCCAGAACACGTTGAGCTGGAGGTATGGGACGAAGACACCACAGAATAAGATAAGAGTACTGATGATCAGGGGGTTCACAAGCGCAGCGAATGTCGGGTTGGGCGAATAGGCAGCGACGAATTGACCAATGCCAGTGTAAATGAGCTCGTAGATCAGCATCATGAAAAATGTGGCGCCAGATCGGTTCGAAGCATGAGGCAGTCTCCAAACGGGGTAGTACCAACAGGCAAAGTAGAGAACAGCACAAATGCAGAGATATGGGAACTCAGAAACAACCAATCCAGTGACAAAGGCAACCCACGAGTACATCTTCGACTTCTTCTCGCGAGTATCATAGATATCACGGCGCTGGATAAAGAGAGGTTGAAGCTGGTTGATAACACCGGGAGCGACAAAGACAAAGTTGAAGATTGTGAACATTTTCAGATTCAAAGCCGTCACACTTGGACCAGGGCGCCAAAAGGAGAAACCATTGAGTGCAGCGGAAATGATGTGAAGGGAGAACTTGTTGTTGATATAGTTGGTGTTCCGGAAAAGCGCGACATTCATTCTTTGAGTGACGATTTTGATCTGCTCCCACATAGGCATAGAGAATTCGAATCCATCATCGACTGTACCGGGGGGTTTGGCAGCAGCGTCTGCAATCATTCCATCCAGTTCTGCAATCATGCGAGTTTGCTCGGGGGAGTCGAGCCAGATTTGATGCCAGTCCTTGTCCTTGACAGCCTCGATACCACCAGTAACAACGTCAATCATAAACTCAGCTGCGTTAGCCTCGGTAGGGCATTGGGCCCCGTATTGGCCGAAGTATTGCTTCACGGTGGCCGCATTCTCGCCAATGTCTCCAAAGTAAACTGTCTTTCCGCCCTTTGCAAGGAGAAGGAGAGTGTCGAATTGGGCAAAGAGCTGCGCTGAAGGCTGGTGAATCGTAACCTAGAATGTGACGTATTAGCAATATGATCTTGCAGTTGTTGAATTGGAGAAACTGAAGACTTGCCAGGACCGCTTGACCAACATCGGCCAATTTGCGCAGGAAACGGACAGTGTTATAGGCCGATTGTCCATCCAACCCAGAAGTGGGCTCGTCCAAGAAGATCAGAATGCTAGGCTTAGACACCAGTTCTACGCCAATTGTGACGCGCTTTCTTTGCTCAACACTAAGACCATTTCCAACGGTACCAATCAGAGTATCTGCTAGGTCATGGAGTTCGAGAAGGTCAATGATAGTGTCAACATACTTGAGCTTATCCGCTTTAGAGATGTTGCGAGACTGGCGAAGGAGAGCAGAGAATTCTAATGCTTCTCTCACGGTTGCAAATGGCTCATGAACATCCAGTTGTTCGCAGTACCCCGCCATTCTTTGGAAAGACACTGGGAGCTCACGGCCATCAACCATAATAGAGCCTTTGATAGTACCATCTGTTTTACGCTGAGCAAGCACATCAAGTAGGGTCGTTTTTCCTGCGCCAGAAGATCCCATGAGTGCACCTAGCATGCCGGGCTTGACCCATCCATGAATGTTATCCAACAGCACTCGATCGCCCGTAGGGGTTTGGACAGTGTATGTGAGGTTTCTCCAAGTAAATATCGACGTGTTTCGGGTGAGATTTTCATCGTCAACCTGGACGGGCTCATCGATAGTCTCGCGGGCAGTAGTCTTTTCATTACGTTGTGCTTCTTCATCGGAGATGCCAGCGAGGCTGTTCTTGAGTTTCTCGCGGGGAATAAGAAGAGAAGCACCAGAGCCAGCACCTGATTTCCAGTAGGATGTGAAAACAATCGTCAGGATGGCGAAGAATCCCCACCATCCCCAGACGACACCGAAGTTTCGCCACAGTTGAGAGTGCTTGTAGTGAAGTGAGGCAAGATACTGATCGCCAGTGACATAGTTTGCACCTGGCAAGGCACCACCAACACCCGCACAAGCTTGGTTCTCGGCTCCAACATTCTCGTAGCCAGGGCCACTTGGTATCAGGTTTTTACCAACGCAAGGGATATGGCGGTCATGGAACTCGTTCGACAAGGCAGCCTGGAAGGCATAAGCAAAGGGGTTCGTGTAGTACAGCTCAAGAAACCAGTTCTTCATCTCAGGCTTGGGAATCATGTAACCAGCATACATGACAATGCCTTTGACTGCAGTTCCTGAGATCTTCGACGCGGCTTCAAAGGTACTGAAAGCGGACCCGATAAATCGAAAAAGAGCAGTGATGCACTAAGGATGTAAGAGTCAGTCTGTCTACGAACTGGCAGAATCGAATGGAAGACGACAGCTTACCAGAATTGTCGTGAACAAAATAATCCAGAAGGTAAAGAAAGCAGCCGCAGTATGTTTCAGGCCTGACATCCAATAGATCACGACCGAGAAGATAGAACACTGGAACAACAGAACCGGAAAATCCGCCATTATCTGAGCCAGGCAAAACGCAGCCGGGTGGTACATAGCAAAGTCCTTGTGTTTGATCAAAACCGGACGGCCCTTGAAAGATTCAGTGACCTCAGACATGGCAACGATGCAGTTGTACAACAAAGAAAAGAAGACAGCACCACCTTTGGTGAAGAGACCCTCGGATGTGTCCGGCGAGTCGTAGAAGCAAGAGCCAGCGATCAACGCCATCGCACATGACAGAACCTGTTTGGTGATGAAGGTTGACTTTTCACCCCACAGAATCTGATATTGTCTCTTGGTGCATGCGACTAGCTGAGCCCAAAAGCTGGTAGTCAGACTACTGCTCTTTGGCAAGTGCTTGGACTTTTCCCACGCGACAGATTCCTTGAATGCGGCTGTGCGCTCACGGCTGAGTTCGGAGTCGGGATAGTCATAAGTTGAGACCATACGGCGGTAAGTGCTGGACTTGATGTATTCGGTCAAAATGGCATCAGCGTTTCTGGGAAATGAGTTTTCGAATCCGGGTCTGATTTTCCGCTCTGTTGGGACTGTCAAACCAGTCAGGAAATCGCCTATTGAATTTTTGTCAGTTTGCATCAGCCATTTTTTGGTCAAATATAGGAAGGAAATACTCACCGACGTTTGCTCCGTCTGTATACATGAAACCTAGATCTTCCATAAAAGGCTTAGCTGCAGCTGCAGGGCCATAGTAGATCTGCTTTCCCTCGTCAAGGACAAGGATCTTGTCGAAGAGATTGTAAATTCCATTTCCAGCTTGATACAGGGTCACAATGGTGGAAAGGCCGAGAATATCAGTCATAGCACGAAGGGCTTTGGCCCACTCCAATGCAGTACTGGCATCTAAGCCGCGGGTACTGTTATCCCAGGAGTAAATAGATCCCCTAGTCGCGAGACACTCGATGATAGAGACTCGCTTCCGCTCACCACCGGATACACCTCGAACAAACTCGTTTCCAACCTTGGTGTCAGCCGTATGCGCGATTCCCATAGACTGTAGAAGGAACTCCTTCGTCTCGGCTGTGTATTCTTCGACACTTTGAGCTCCTTCTGGTAGATGGAAAGGAACCTTGAGCCTGGCTGCGAAGTCCATAGTCTGGCCGACTGTCAAGCGGGGGTAGAACAGCTCTTCTTCCGTGTTCATCACAATTTGGCCATTGTAGCCTTCGGCTTCCTTGGGGGTCATGTTTCCGAAACGCACGTCACCATTGATGGTGTGATAACCTTCGCGGCGATTGGATAGAATCTTGAGTAGCGTGGTGCATCCTGAACCAGGGCGGCCCAACACGAGTAACATTTCTCCGGGTTTGACGCATCCATGGCTGTCTGACAAGATCGATTTAAGGGGCGGCTTTCGGCGGAAATCTTTAATCAGTTGAGGAACGTTGAATTGCGAGATCATGTTTTCGTTAACGGCGGCTTCGGCAGCAAGGACATCGACGGTTAGATTTTGCCATGTAACACCTAGCTCCCGCCTCTTGAATCCTGCTGCTTCATCACGTTCTGCATTCCGAATCACTTGCGGTGTCATGCTCCACTCGGCAGCCTTCTTGGGGAGTAGGGAAGTCTCGGCATTAGCGACATTCAGAGTCTCGGCACTCTTTGCTTCGTGAATGTTGACTTGCGGTGAACGCAGGGTCTCCACGCTAGTAAAATCGTGGGTGTTGAGCTTGCGGACAAGCGAATTTTCTAGATCCTGGTTATTGTCTTCGTCCTCAGTGCCGTACTCGCTGTGCAGCGAGGCATCATCGGGGCCGGGATGCTGCTCCATAATAGGAGACTTGGAAGGAGGGGAGATTGATCAAGAAAGCGAAAAAAACTATAGAATCAAATTCTAATTCAAACTGGGAAGGGTAGCATATTTATCCTATACGATTCTGCATAGGGGCGAGTCTTTTATATGTGCCGACTCCATATCCGAAAGATTAGGAGGGGATCGGAAAGCTGGCATTGTATAGTGGCCTGTTATTGGCTGAAGCATATTTAATTTGTTTGTTATTCCTGCTCATGAAGATCCAAAGAGACCTGGCAAACCCGGCACAGAGGCCGAGTTCAAAACAAAACCCACTTTGGGTAAGCCTTGAGTCGTATCAACCATTACCAAGTTATCTAATAGCTATTCAGCGGATAAGCATTGAGAGCCGGATGGATGTCCGATTCTTCCGACTTCTAGTGTGTTGGATACATGAGGCTTTTAGGGCTTCACTGTTTATGTTGTAGATCACTGCACAAACCAATTACGGTAGATGTTATACCTCGATTAATGATGCGTATTGTATTAGCAATCAATTGTTCCCACTTCTATATGGAGCTTCCAAATTGATTGCTATCAACTGAGAATTTCTGGTGATACTATGTTGTATGCACGAGGGGCTCCAAGATTCTACACAATGTTCGTCAAAGGTGGCGATCAAACAATCAATTTGGCGGATCTATGTTCATGGATTTCCGGATAAAGGTTATATTTCTAGATTAAAGCGCCTTGTTAGTGTCCAAGTTCCCCTGAATTGATCTGTTAAAGTCCCTAGATGGACCAGCAACTCAGCAATGCCGAGGCACCGGAACTGTAAAGATTGCACGGGGTAATATATCCCGACTATCGGGTCTCTTGACGATCCCGATCTACCCGGGTCTTACCTAATCGCATTCTAGCCCGGTCTTTGAGTCTTCCCAATGAGGAAATATGTGCCTTGGCTCTCAATTAGGCAATTTGCGACTGCTTACCTAGATCCATTGCGGGTCTGTCAATATCTTGCGTGCATTAAAAGGTCCAACGCTTTGACATCTTGTTCAGTATCCAGTACTCGCTCCGTCTATTCGGCTTTCAACCCCACCTTAAGACTTGCATTATACTTCGAGGGTATCACATCATACCTTGATAGTCTCAGAACAACGGTGAGCTCTGAGTGATCAGTTTGCTTGGTGAACAATGGGGTCACACAATGGTATTGCCTAGTCTTACACTATGCTGCGAGCTGAGGTGCTTCACAGGCAGCAGTGTACATATGGGTGCAAGAATCATCGAGGCCAGACTCACATGCAGTCACTTTGGACCTATCATACAAAGATAAAGATTTCCAATTCGATAGTGACAAACGGCCAGAACCGGTTTATTCTGTTTTTCCAGTTTTCAGGAGTTAACCTTTATTGCCGATGTGTATTCATTTAAGGGCTGAACAGTATCCCTTGATTGAACAGCGTCTACCCAACACAGAATCTTTGAAAAGGTGTGTATGATATGCATCTACAACAAGAGAGGCACATCCTATGCTATGTTTTAAAAGTCTTTCATCCGTCAATTGCCAGCACTAATCTATAATTTGCTACCAACTTGCAGATGTACCTAACATTACTCACGCCGAAGAAAAAGTTCACTGAGAGTGTCTTCAAGCCATCGGGCTGAGCTAGCTTCAAGTTTTTGAAGCTCCCTGACAGGAGGGGTTTAACCCCAGCGATACACACGTTGTTGGAAGGATATACTCTCTCTTCTTCTAATCCAACCCAAGAGTATCAAGCAACAAGCTAGCCAATATACCTAGCAAGACATAGTAGTAAGTGATCCCTTCATGTGCGCATGTAGATTGACAGTTTATGATGTAGACATGGTTTTTATTGGAGGCACCACAGATTACAATTTTTGACCAGGAGCCAACAACACTATGTAAATCAATTCACGAAGACACCCCAGCATGAAACTCACTACAATCATTGCCACCCTACCGCTCTAGGCTCTGGTAGCAACATCCCCTGTTCCACTCAAAACCGACGAAACCTTCTCCCGAGCCCAATGCAAGCTGTGGAGAAACTGTTCCCTGGCTCGGGGATTCCACGGCTGACGGGCAAAATTGAGAAGGAGATTCGATGTTTGCAAGTGCATCATTTTGCGTGGTGGTGGTAGTATTTCGGGTAAAGATATGCCCTCTCCTTTCTAGAATTGGATGCCTATGATTGGTTATGGTATTGAAAATGCTATTAGGCTATGAGATTGACGCTGCTTTCTTTTCCTTTCTTATGGGTTGTGCGAAAGGTCTGCCATGATACCAATTACACTGCTTCCACACGATATTCATTTATAATGTTTCAGAAGTGTCATAGGGTTATTTGTCTCCAAAAGAGGTCACCATTCACCAAAACATAGATCGAACAAAGTGTCATGCCAAGATTGGACATTGTGAGTCCATATATACCAAAGATAAGCAATCACATCAACTAAAACATACCCTCCATATCCAAATCCAGGAACTCAGGGTTTCCAACTGCCATATCTGCTGCATTGAGCACATCATCAATGGCATCCATGCCAGCCCCAGAATCAAGCCTCAAATTTTGACTAACACCAATACCGCCATCCATCCCAGCAGCCACCGCATCTGCGGCCGCCTTATCCAGCATCTGATTGATATTATCAGGGTCATCCTCATTGACAGTATTACGCGCAACATCAGCAGCAGAAGGCTCAAGGTCCATCCGATCCTCCTGCCCCTCAACGCCAAGATGCATATTTTGAATAATGTTCGAGACATCAACATTTGAGACCTGCGACGGTGGCGCCATGAGAATATTGACCCGACGCGCAAGCCGCACTACGACCTCTGCACGCAGCGGGTCACTCTCAGAGATCTTGGCCACGTTCTCATGCTGCAGCAACAAGGCGTCGCGCAGCGTCAGGATCGCGCAACGCGGCAAAGCCTCCTTGCTCGTGTCAACTGGGTGATAGTTGTTTTGGTCGACAGCGAAGGACTCCGTCATCGGCGCACATACCATCGTCGTGGCAATGTCCAGTGCGATATGTCCGCTGCCTGCTTCGGTCTGCAGCTTGACTTCGTCGATTATTGCGCCTAGCACGCGTGTTGCACCCAGCATGCGGATCCCAGCTAGCAACTGCCGGTGTGTGTAGGCGTGCGGGGCCATGCTGATTCCTGGATTGGCGCTCCAGAGGACGAGGGCCTGCAGTGTTGCGCGGATACTGGCTATTAGCCCGCCTGCGGAGTGGGAGGTCCAGGTGTCCAGTTCGGAGCGGCGGCAGCTGCCTACGCGGCGGAAGGAGATGTAAGGCTCCAGGGCATCGAGGATTGGATTGATGTCGGTACGCGACTGGTTTCTTGTTCGAACGTTTTTTAGTTGCTCTTCTAGAGGGCAGCCGGTGATGTTCAGGACTGTTTGGTGGATGGCTTGGGCTTCGCCGGAGATTGAGCTGGGTTTGACTAGGGAGTGGAGTGTTTTGATCGGGATTGTAGGGTCGGTCTCTGATTCCCAGATGTGGTTGCCCAGCCATGTCAGTGCGACAACTAGTGATGGGAGGAGGAAGGGCTCTAGCAAATCTGTCTTATGATTAGCTGGGTATCCAGCGGGAAGCGACCGTGCGACGATGTTCTTACATTCAAATCCGCCCTTCAAAGTATCGAAGTCTAGTTTTCCGGACTCGCATGCACCAATACTCTGATCGAACAGTGTTGTGACAAGCATGTAGAATTCTTGCGGGCTGCAAGAGGACATGGTCTCTTCGCTGATGCCCTCAGCAATGAACAGAGCTCCTACCCAAGCGCCGAGATCTTTGTTTTGCTTCTCGCTTAAGTCGCTCAGCTTCTGGCTGCAAGTGCCTCGGTCCATAAGCTTCAACAAGAATGAGTCGTTGTTCGAGATACCCATATCAGAAGGACTAAGGTCATAGCGGTATTTGAATGCAAGGACCAGCAACAGAATACTGCCAAATTCATCGTAAACAGGCTGGTTTTCCCCCTGATCCTCGTCCCACTTCCAAGCATCAAGGACAGCACAAAGAGGTTGCAATACTTGCTTTGTAGTTCGGAACAGTAACATTACATCCAATGTTTGCGGGCGGCGTGAGAGCGAATTGCAGATGTTCTTGAGCGTCATTGTCTCTTTTTGATGACACAAATTTTGTATAACCTTGAAGATGTTAGCATTCTAATACTCCTAGAAAACAGTTGTCGGATAGTCTGGAACGTACATCGACCACGGCGCCAACTATCGCGCCTGCATTGCCCTCCATCGACTCGATCTCGCCGATAAGTTGCTCAGCACGTTCATGATTGTTATTGATTTGCGAAATGAGATCGTCCTTGACATAAGGGCCCCCACCAGGCAGCGTCTGCATGGGATTTTCTCCAAGAAGCTGTTCAATGCTAGACTCTCGTATGAGCTTGTGTGACGCACAGGCAAAGAGAAACTCCTGGCGAGCATCTGATAAAACACTGCTGCCCTGCATGGAGAACATCTGAGAGAAGGAGGGGAATGCATTCGGATCCAGACGGCTTAAGGCATGGCTGATGCAAATTTCCATGGAGATCGGTACCATGGATGCTGCTGAGATGGCTGCGAAAAAGGCGGGGAGCTTGTTGACAAGGAAAGATCGGAATAAGAGCATTGTGCGGCCAGATTCATTGCGATATACGCCATTGGAAAGAACGTCAAAGGCGGCTGTGATGATCTCCTCGATTAGGACGTCATTGAGGCCCTGGTGATGGTTAGTCAAATCATCTGAGCTGTTGTTGACTAGTTGGGGGGGTGGATAGGTCGTGATAACTGAACTCACCTGATACCGATTGGTGAGGTAGTTGATCAGAATGGTATCATCGACCAAAGGACGACCCACAACCTGTTGCTGGTCAGCTATGAGCCCAGAATCGCGGCGTAAAGAGAAGCGTTACCATAGAATTTATGTATACATAGAGCCCAGCTCTAGTGTTAACAACCGGGCCATCCATGACAGAAGACTCAAACTGGAGGGCATTGACATTCACGCCGTCAATAGCAGGCCCGTGTAAAGCCTTGGAAGGCTGACCGGGGTAAAGGTTGAACACTTTCTGCAACTCTTCGAGGCGATGCCGGAGGGGCAGAGAAACATCGATACAGAGAGGAAGATAGCTTGACAAAGCTTCTCCCAGTTTCGTTTTCAATCCTAGGGGAAATGATGAATATGTGTTCAATGGGAATGGAAACAAAAATTTCCTAGCGCGGAGATCATGTAGATTTACCTTGATTGAAATCACTGGACAAGAATTCCAGGCCTTTGCTAGTCCCAGACAAAGCTGCAAGTAAAATCCCAAGAGACTCGAACAACGACACCGCGTCCGGTGACCCCATCAAGCCACCTGTTGGCTGCGAGGGGTCCATGCTGTGGTTGTGCCACGCCACGACAGCCAGAATCCAGTCTACAGTGGCAGAATAAATATCTGCAGCCTCGATAACGGTCTTTGGGATTGACCCGGTGGAAATGAACACCATGACGTCCTGGATGACTTTGATATCAGTCATAAGAGTGGATGGCTTTTGCATCTTAGACTTGAACGGTGAGACCTGTCCCTCGTCCTCACCCTCATCAGATCTCGACCCATCCAGGATAGAAGAGTGCTTTAAAAGACTCGCCAGCGCAGACGAAGACTTGACCCTCCCAACCTTGCATAGTCCATCGACGTACAACGGTAGAAGAGGGTCCCAGGTAACACTAGAGGAAGCGCGAGCTTCGAGGAGCAAATCGAGGAGCTCACTTTCTTTCATCGGTGAGCGGGCAAGCATTAGCCCCGACAAGTCTGTGAACTCGTCTATATCTATACGATTGGCCAAACATTGGTGGAGGAAGGTCCTCCATTGTTCGGGAATTGCCCTGTCCGGCAGCATTGTCATCTCCACGACATAACACTGCACCCTGGAAGCTGTAAAAATAATATTGCAAGTCACCGACTCGCACCAAGCATTTTCTTTAGAGGAGTAGATTGCTGGTCTTGAGGCTGTGAGGGATAGCTCTTTCTCAGGTTGGCGCTCCGGGGCTCACGAAAGCAATTACATAATCAGCACGTGAGATGGAATTGTAACTATTGCATGTCACATGACTTTTGTGTTTTGAAAGCCCGACACCACACATAACTCAAGTAAATCGCCTGCAAGACCCGTGTGCGGCATTGGAGTCATGACAAACACAACACTCGAGGGATCTGTCTACCAGACTTCTCTAAGAATCTGGGACTTATCTGAGGTACTAAGGAATTAAAGCAATGAAAGATTTAATGCCAGCACATCAGCTCAGCCTCAAGAAACCAGCTTAACTACTTTTGATAACTACTTTGACAACAATCTAGAGATACGAGATTAACAAGCAAGTACATTTAAATCATTCATTGTATCTCATTATCATCATGACAATCCCAA